CCCCTCACCTGTCCCTCACCTGTCCTCTCACCTGTTGCTCACCTGTCCCTCCTCACCTGTCCCCTCTCACCTGTCCCCTCTCACCTCTCCCTCACCTGTCCTCTCACCTGTCCCCTCTCACTTGTCCCACCTCACCTGTCCCTCCTCACCTGTCCCTCACCTGTCTCCCCTCACCTGTCCCTCACCTGTCCCTCACCTCTCCCTCACCTGTCCCTCACCTGTCCCCTCACCTGTCCCCCCTCACCTGTCCCTCACGTGTCCCTGTCCCCCCCAGGGAGCGCAGCCTGGCCGGGATGCGACGCCGGCAGGGCCAGGCCGGGCCAGGTGAGGGTTCCAGGCCAGGTGATGGTGCCAGGACAGGTGACAAGGAGGGTGACAGCGACGTGGAGGACCCCGGCGCACCTGAGCCAGGTGTGGCCACGCCCTCAGAGGACGAGGACGACGCCGAGTATTACAGACAGGAGCTGGGGGAGGAGCCAGACACAGGTGAGTCTGGGGGGGGACAGGTGAGGTTGGGGGGGGATCAAGGTGAGTTTGGGGGGGATCAAGGTGAGTTTGGGGGGGGACAGGTGAGTTTGGGGGGGTAAAAGTGTGTTTGAGGGGGGACAGGTGAGTCTGAGGGGGGAGTTTGGGGGGTTACAGGTGGGTTGGGGGGGGACAGGTGAGTTTGGGGGGAGTTTGGGAGGTTACAGGTGAGTTTTGGGGGGGACAGGTGAGGTTTGGGGGGATCCAGGTGAGTTTGGGGTGGGACTGACCCCCCCTTTTCCCTCCGGAGGTGGTTGATGACACCAAAAAATTCCTGAATTTCCATGAGTTTGGTTCAAAGTAAACGCTCTGACACCTCCAGAACGGCCCCAAAACTGGCCCTTTTCACCCCAAAACTCTCTTTTCACCCCAAAACTGCCCCTTTTCACCCCAAATTGTCCTTTCAGCCCCAAACTTGTCCCTTTTCACCTTTTTTTTCGTCCTTTTCTCCCCAGATTTGTTCCCCACCAAGAGGAAACGAAGCCCCTCGGGCGCTTCCCGACCCCAGAAACGACGGAGGCAGAGCCGGGAGACCCCGAAATCCCACCCAAACACCCCCAAATCTCACCCAAACACCCCCAAAACCCACAGAAACAACCCCAAATTCCACCCAAACAGCCCCAAATCCCACAGAAACAACCCCAAATCCCACCTGGGAACCCCCAAATCCCACAGAAACAACCCCAAATCCCACCTAGGAACCCAAAAATCCCACCCAGGACCTCCCAAATCCCACCCAAAAAAACCCAAATCCCACAAAAACACCCCTAAATCCCACCCAGGGACCCCAAAATCCCACCCAGGAAACCCCAAATCCCGCCCAGGGACCCCAAAATCCCACCCAGGACCCCCCAAATCCCCCAAAAACACCCCAAAATCCCACCCCAGGCCGAAGGTTCGGGGGCAGCTCCTGGGGAGGAGGAAAACTGGGATTTTCCAACGTCCTGGAAGGGCCAGGAAGGGGAAAAAATAAAAGGGGAAGGGAATTTGGGGTCCTGGATTTGGGACCTCCTGGATTTAAAGGGGATTTTCCTGGAATTTGGGGGTCCTGGGGATTTGGGGGGTTTCTCCCTGGATTTGGGGGTTCAGGGCCCTTCCCAAATAAAGGATGGAAAAGCCCCCTCAGGTGTCTGCAGCGTGTGATATTTTGGGGTCTCTTTGAGGGGTATTTTGGGGTCCCTTTGAGGGGTATTTTGAGTGTCTTTGGGGGTGTTTTGGGGGTTCTC